ATTTTGGTTTTTCTCTGGTACCGGGAACCGAACTCACGACCTTGCGCTTGCCAGGCAGGCGCTTTTGCCGCTGAGCTAAATCCCCAGCCCCTTGTTGTTGTGTTTTTGAGACAGGGTCTCGCTATGCAGCTCAGGCTGGCCTTGAGCTCCCTTTGTAGCCCAGGCTGGTCTTGAACTCACAACCATCTTCCTGCCTCAGCCTCCCGAGTGCTGGGATTGCAGGCGTGCGCCACCACGCCCAGCTTTTCCTGTGTATTAAAAAGGGAGAAATTTGAGCGTGTGTTTGGGAGAAGGAGCCAGACACAAAGAGAAGCGGGAGAGCGCACGGGGGGCGGGGGATAACCTGCGACCATGGCAGTGACGGTGACAGTGGGGGAGCAGAGAGGCAGGCAAGGGGGGGATGGAGCCCGGGAGGCTGGGTTTGCCCACCTGGGGAGAAAGGAGCGGACTCTGCTCTGGAAAGGGGAGTTGAATCCCAGCATTCGAACTAGAAGGGACCTGGAGATCATCGTATCCAGGACAGAGGAGAAACCACAGGACAGGGAGACCGTCACCCGCCCTGTGTTTCGGTGTCAGCCACCGGAGACCTGGGGCTAGACCCACACAGAACCGAAGCCGGCCCGGGAGCCCAAGGGCGAGTGCAGGCGCCGGCGGGAGGAGCACGAAGGGCCCCTCCTCCTGCCGGGTCGCTTTCAGTTTCCACTGCTGTTCCTGGCCCGTCACACACACACTCTCGCAGCACCCTCACGGTGACCCTGTGAGCGAGGCGTTATCTCTTTTCCAGTAAAACCAGGTCTCTGTAGAAGGCGAGGAAGCCGGAACAAGCCAAGGCAGAATTTAAACCCTCTGCCTCTGTGTGACCCCACGGTTTATTTTTTTTTTCACCACAGTGCTTAACAAAAACAGCATCAACAGACTAAATTACAGCGCCCCCTAGGCTCAGACCCCGGTGCAGGTCGCACTTAGCAGCATGAGCAGAACTGCGATCGTTGATTCAAAGATGCTTTGGTTTTTTTAAACATTTTGACGTCTGTGAACTTGAGGTGTGTCTTACCAACACTGGCAGTCCTGGTTTAATTGGCAGTGCCTCCCCCCCTTTTTTTGTGGCACACACAATAACAGGCGTGTCTCGTGACCAATTCTGAGATCTAACCAAACACAACAGGTTCAGGTACCATTGACCAATATCATCCCCAAAGGGACAAACTAGAGGTGAAGCTTTGAGATTAGAGGACAGGCTGAGAAGTCCAAAGCCAGTGCTGGAGCCGAAAGGCCCGGGTATTTGTGTAGAGGTGGGCGGAATAGAAGAGCATGTGGCCCAGCCTTCCTGCCTGGTGCAGGCCCGGTGCCCCTTGAGTGATTATTCATGTGAACTCAAGTTCAGTTGTTCCAAGTCCCCAGGACAGGAGCTAGGGTATCTGAGAAAGCTGGACAGACCAGTGGGGCCGTGTCGGGCTGGGAGTCTGTCCTCTGATGATATAGCTGGACCCTACAATTACCAGCGCTCTTTGGCCTTTGTTCCTTGCAGGGTCTGAGAAAGCAAGCCAGTCTTTTTGTAATCTGTACCTTCTTCTACCCTTGGGCCTCCACTTGGTAGTAAATTTAGCTCTTTTTATGTTCTGCAATCTGTCTGCTTGTGCACTGGCCCTGAGGGAAATAAGAGAATTGTATTTCTCAAGATGATCCCAGAAGAAACAGAGGCCTCGAGGGTATGGGTTGAGGGCAGCAGGTTAGGAAGAGAGCTCGAGCAGCAGAGACCGATTTCAAGGACCCTAATTCTGTCCAGCCAGAAGATAGCGAGATAGAGACACTGCTGAGGACCCTGAGGGGGAAGTCTGGCAAGACATTAAAGGGAAAGCTCCAGAGACAAGGGGGCATCTCCAGCACTAGGAGCGGCACCTGGTAGATACAGGACGCTCGACCAACTCAGTGTCGTTGTACAGCCCCGGCTCCCGCACACCGCCACCAACATGGCCGCTTTTGGACATACATTCCCCTTCTACACCGGCCCCAAGCCAACCTTCCCGATGGACACCACCCTGGCCGTCATCCTCGCCGTCTTTCTGACTGCCTTGGTCACCGTTGTCATCATCCTGCCTGGCATTCGGGGCAAGACGGTAAGGAAGAAACCCAGCCCTGAAGACCCCTGCCCCGGAGGGACCTCAGCCTCAGAGAGAGGGGTCCAGACCCTGTCCACAAAAAGGCGCAGGGAGGAGACCCTAGCAGAGGGCTCCCCGCTCATGGGTTGAGTCAGCAGATAATTGCGGAGCAGCAGTTAGGCGCCAGACCCCCATCACCACGGACCAAGCGGTCTCGGGGGTAGAATCTCTGCCCCTGCCCCAAGCATGGAAGAAGGGAGGGTGGGCGTGGGAGGCGGTGCTGCTTCCTAACCCCCACCCTGTGCCTCAGAGGCTCTTCTGGCTGCTGCGGGTGGTGACCAGCTTATTCGTCGGCGCTGTGATCCTGGGTGAGTGCCGGCCTCTCCTCCTTGGGCAGCGGGCCGCTCTTCTCAACCCCGCTGCGGTCCCTGCTTCGAGGCGGCTCCCAGACCCTGCCCAGAGGGTGCTGCCTGGGGCGCTGCCGGGGGACCCCAACGGATGCATCTGCACAGCCCTCAGGACTTTATTTCGGGCATAATGACTGCTGCCAGAAGGTTCCTGGGACAGGGGAAGAGGAAACAAGGAGGGCTGCCTGCTTGGCGTTGGTGATTTGGGGACACGGAAGGCGTACGCGCCGAAGCTGTGATTGCCTGTCGCGGTTTCTTGTATGGGCCTAGTGACGATCCCTAAATGTGTATATGGGGGTGCAGAGTGTGAGCGAGGGAGAGCTTGGATCCTGACCCTTTCGTGCCTCCCACACCCGCGGCGGGCAGACTTCCCCGGAGCCAGAGCCCGGCTGGTCAGTGGGTGACAGTGACGGCCCGTCCACACGTGCAGGCCTGTAGCTCTCCTGACTGCCCCCGTAGCCTCCAGCCCTCCCTAAGTTCCTGTGTGTTCGACCCCCCAACCCCAGCCGTGAACTTCAGCTCTGAGTGGTCAGTGGGCCGGGTCAGCGCCAACACAACCTACAAAGCCTTCAGCCCCGAGCGGATCCGCGCTGACGTGGGGCTGCAGATCGGGCTGGGAGGAGTCAACATCACGCTCACCGGTGAGGGGGCGCCGGCCAGGGACCGAGGGGGCTCTGCGCTGTCTCGGGGATCTGTTTTGACGTGGTCCAAAAGGTTGCAGTGTCCCCAGCCCCGGGGTTAGAGGGATCTGTGGGTATCGGGGTCTCCTCCCGCTGAGGTCAGCTCCCGGCCCTGCCCAGGGTGGGTGGCCCCTGCCCGGGGAGATGCCGGGCTGCAGCCCTGGAGTCCCCACTGAGCGCAGCCACCCGCTCCCACAGGGACCCCAGTGCAGCAGCTGAATGAGACCATCGATTACAACGAGGAGTTCCTGTGGCACCTGGGCAAGGACTACGCCGAGGAGTACGCAAGGGCCCTGAGGAGGGGGCTGCCGGACCCCGTCCTCTACCTGGCTGAGAAGTTCGGCCCGAGCAGCCCGTGTGGCCTGCACAGCCAGTACCGCCTGGCGGGACACTACGCCTCCGCCGTGCTGTGGTGAGCAGGGGTGGGGGGAGGCCCTGCAGTGTGAGGCTGTCCCGGAGGGGACAGGCTGGCACCCGTGGCCGCAGTGCCTGGTTGGGGAGTCCATGGCAGGACTCCCCTCTTCGCATCACCGGGGCCTCCTGGGCCCCCAGCCCTCGCCTGGGCCCCTCCAGCCCGACTGCAGGTGGAGACCCTCACGGCCCCGCTCGCAGGGTCGCGTTCCTCTGCTGGCTGCTGGCCAACGTGATGCTGTCCATGCCTGTGCTGCTCTACGGCAGCCACATGCTGCTGGCCACGGGCATCTTCCAGCTGCTGGCGCTGTTCTTCTTCGCGGCCACGTCCCTCACGCCACCCTGTCCGCTGCGCCTGGGCGCCGCGGAGCTGCACACCCGGCACGGGCCTGCCTTCTGGGTCACACTGGCCACAGGTGAGCCTGCCTCGGGCCACTGGCCCCAGGGCTGCGGCCGGAGCGGGAGCAGCAGGGCCTGGCCGGGGGTGGGCTGAGGCTCTGCTTCCGGGGCCCGTGCCAGCGCTCAGCAGACGCCCACTGCCCGCTCCCCCAGGACTGCTGTGCGTGCTGCTGGGCCTGCTCATGGCGGTGGCCCACAGGCGGCAGCCCCACAGGCTGAAGGCCTTCTTCAGCCAGAGCTCGGAGGACCCCACCCTCAAGTGGCGGGCTGAGGAGGGGGAGCTCCTGACTCCCCGCTACCGGCCCATGGCAGAGAGTCCCGAGCCCCAGGACATTCCTCTGTCGCGGGCTTCCTCAGAGGCCTGCTGTCGGGAGGAGCGCCCCGGAGAGCCCAAGTGCGCCCTGTGATTCCCCTGTCCCGGCGGGCGGCCCCCTGGGTGGCCCCTTGCAGGTGGCAGGCTGCAGCAGATCCTCGGCTCCGGGAGTAGGCTGGAGAGTTACAGACAGCCCCGCCTACTGACGCCACCCAGAACAAAGCCGGAAACCCCCCCCCCAACCCCCTTGCTATAGTGACAGCAAGCCTACCCTTATTTCTGTCCAGCAGCTGTCTTCCCCAGGTGCTGGGCCTCCTCTGGGCGCCCTGAAATACCCCCCCCTCACCCGTAAGTCACACTGAGATTCTCCCACAGACCTCCTCCCTCTGCAGCTCTCCGAAGGGGCGTGTGCGTGTGTGTGTGTGTGTGTGTGTGTGTGTGTGTGTGTGTGTCCACCCTCGGTTTCCACTGGAAGGAGACCACCAGACATCTCACCCAGCTCCAGCATTAACCAACCGTGCCACATCCCGTTTTGGCCCCAGATATACTCAGTAAGACTGTAGGATTTGCCAACGGCCTTTAAGAAAATAAAGTTCCTAGGTTTATATTTTTATACCTTGCTGACATCTACCTCGGCCCACAGACACCACTGCAAAAGAAGGCAACTGGGAAGAGTTAGTGAATCGACTCCAAAACCTCCTTCCTTCCCAGTCCATTCCGCAGAGTGGGCGAGGCGACCCCGGAGGGAGGGAGGGTTACCAGCCTGGACCCTGAGCCCGGCCACTCACCCACCCGCGGCTGCTCAGGGTCGTTTCCGCCACGGTGTCACTAGAGGGCGCCCCACCAGAGCCTTTCTGCCGTCTGGTTTTTCCGGGGCAGGGAACGCGGTTAGCACACAGAAGTGGGCTGTCTCAGCCCCGCGAAGCCTCCCCAGGGCGTGTGTCGCGGAGAACCCGAGAAACCATGGCAATTAACGAGTGGGGGCAGTTTTTACAAACAAAAAAAGTTAATTTACAGCTGGCTGGGCGCGTACAGCGCCTGTCCCCGCGGGGCGTTCCGGTCCCGCAGCGCGGAGCCCCTCGGGGTGCCCCGCCCACAGCGAGGTAGAGTCCAGGGGTGGGCGGCCGTCACAGTTTAGTGGTGGTCTTGAAGTCCGGGGGCGCGAACTGCTGGTGCAGCGGGTTGCTGAGGAGGAGGGGCGAGCCCGCCCTCGCCTGGCTGCCGCAGTCCGGGGCGTTCTGGTCCAGCACGACGCGCAGGGCTCTGGGCCAGGCGTAGTGGAGAAGCACCACCGCCCCTCCCAGCAGCAGGCACAAGATGCCTGCGGGGGAAGAGTCGGGCGATCAGGGCCCCTGGTCAGACCCGGGCCTGCCCCTCGGCCTTATGCAGGCTCCCCCTAGAGTTTCCGCCCCACGCACGCGCCCACTGCAGAAAGACCTCTGATGTGGGCTGCAGCATATGCGCCTTCTCAGGCAGCCGGACAGGACGCGGACCCCTTCGGAGTCCCCTCTTTCTGCGAGGTGGGCGTAACAGCATCCCTCACCCGGGCGTGGAGGCGCACACCTGAAATCCCAGCGCTCCGGAGGCTGAGGCAGGAGGATCACCGCGAGTTCGACACCAGCCCGGGCTGGTGAGTTCAAGACCAGCCTGCACTACCTAGCGAGACCCTGCCTCAAAAAACCAAAGCAACCCAAACTAAACAGCCCAAAGCCAGCCCCCTTCTGTCCTCAAACTGCCGAATTGTCTGTGATCACTGTGTGGACTGGAAAGCGCGCGCCGAACGGGGTCCTCACCCGTAGCCAGCGTGAGCCAGAAGGAGACTCCGTAGCCAGGCGTGAGCGCGGCGGAGCCGAGGCGGAACTGGCACAAGGGCACGCTGGAAATCGAGGCGAAGGAGAAGACGGAGAAGAGCGCGAAGGCGCCGGTGACCAGGAGCGCCAGGCCGCCGTAGAGCGGGGCGGGCATGGAGAGCAGCGCGTTGGAGAGGACCCAGAAGCAGAAGGCCACCCTGCGGGGACGCGCGGCGGGATGAGCCGGGCCTCGCTCGGCCGCGGGGTCCGGGACGGCAGGGCGGCGCCGCGGGGTCTCCGAGCGCGCCCCCCGCGCAGACCCCACGCCGCTGCCCCCCGTGCCGCGCCCGCGCTCACCACAGCGTGGCCGCGGCGTAGTGTCCGGCCAGCTGGTACTGGCGGTACAGCCCGCAGGGGCTGCGGGGCGTGAACTTCTCGGCCAGGTACAGCACGGGGTCCGGCAGCCCCCGCTCCAGCGCGCGCACGTACTCCAGGTGGTAGTCCTCGTCCAGGCGCCAGGTGAACTGCTCGTTGTAGTCAATGGTCTCGTTCAGCTGCTTTACTGGGGTCCCTGCGGGGGACGGCGGCGGCCTCGAGGTCGTGCGTGCGAGGCCCGCAACCCGGAAACGCAGCCGGTTGGGACAGGGAAGCGGGGTGGGGAGGGGTCTGCTGGCGGCGCTTTTGGAGCCCGAGGGTGAGAAAGGCCCCGCAGGGCGCCCAGCCCCAGGCGTCCGCTCGCCCCTCCTCACCTCTTAATGTGACGTTAAAGCCCACCAGGCCCACATTCAGGCCGACGCGGGCTTGAACACGCTCGGTGCTGAAGGCTTTGTAGGAGGTGTTGGTCCACACGCTGCCCACGAACCACTCCCCGCTGAAGTGCACGGCTGTGGGAGAGGCGCGCGGTGGACACGGCTTTGGCAAACGGGATTGGAGAGGGGCGGAGGAGGCGGAGGAGGCGTCCGGGGACCCACTGCGCTTGCGTGGGAAGGGCAGAAGCGGGGCGCTAGAAAGAGCCTCAAGCAAAGCGGGGAAAGGTAGCAGCAAAGCAACCCCAGTTTCCCAGTTTCCGCGGCGCCTCTGCACGCCCCCTCCCGTTCCCCACACCCCCCCGGGCTGCACCGCACACTCACCCACAATTTCTCCCCCTATGAACAGACTGAGCAGCACTCTCACCAACCAGAACCAGCGCTGCAGGAAGAGCCGCTCGGGTCAGGCTGGGCACTGCCCAACCAGCCCCGAGGCCTCTGCTGACCCCGCTCCACCTCAGTCTGATTGCATTCCTGACCTTTGGAGGCCGAGGTCGGGTGTGTTTGCCCTGCAAGTCCCCTGAGCCACTGGCATCTCTGACGTTTTCTGGTCGTGCGCTTCGCTTCGACCTCCCCAGCCTCATTTCCACGCCCAGCCGGTCCGGCAAACGCCTGCCACCTTCCCTCCCCGGCTGCCTGGCGCCTGCCCCTGCCCCCTCCCCGTCAGTCACTGCCTCGGTGAGTGCAGAGTGGGAGGCAGGGGTCACCTCCCTCAGAAGAGGGAGGCCCAGTAGGGGAGCTGGAATAGCTGCTGATAGGCCTAGCTGCACCCGTTCCCTGGGAAACCAGCAAAGATCAAGACTTGGGGCCCCGGGGGCCCCTCACGCGCATCAAGCCAACACCAAGTGGAACGGCAGTCTGTCCTGCTGGCACCTGTGCTCTTGGCCCCTGGTCAGCACGCAGAGGGCAGGACAGGAATGCAGCTGCAGTCCCGAGGGAGGCAGGAGGCCCCTGCAGCCCCGGATGCCCGCCCCCTGCCCTTCTTGCAGCAGCCTCTCGTTATTGGCCTGGGGTCCCCCTCCGGGATGTCTTGGACGAGGGGTGCCCTCCCTGTCCGTGGGAAGGGGGAGACCTTCGCATTTGCCCCTCCTGACCTTCAGTTTGACTGTTCACGGAGACCCTTCCCCTCTGCGACCTGCAGACGGCTGCGCGTGGCACCCACACCAGCCACGGAGCTTCCAGCATCCCCTTACCGAGTGGCCCCGGATCCCAGGCAGGATGAGCAGGAAGCTGCCGGCCAGGGCGCAGAACACCACAATGACGATGAGCAGGGGGACGCTGAGGCCCGCGGCATGCTGCTGCTGCGGGTAGAAGGGCAGCACGCCGTTCCACAGCGTCATCCTGCCGCGCCGGACGGGAGCGAGCGCTGCGCGGGAGCGAGCTGGGGGTCCCGGCTGAAGACAGTGGTCGGGTCTGTCCCCCAAGGAAGCGCGCAGTGTGGCTGCCCTGACACGCTCTGGGCTGAGCCAGCGAGCAGAATTATTTCTCAGCGGCCGTGGCCCGGCTACTTTCCTGGCTGCGCCGGCTCGAGAGGGACCCAGACCCCTTATATAGGCTCAGAGGCAGGATGCAGTTGATGTCCCATCCAAGCCCCGGGGTCCCAGCCTAGCAGAGGTTATGCAAATAAGGGGTGGAGGGTGATATGCAAATAAGGGCCCGCCTCCACAGCGGGCAGGAAGCCCCAGGTGTAGATATTCACACCTGCCGCCTGTCTGCCAGAGGTGGCACCCACGCACCAGTGAGTGAGGACCCAGGAGGAAGGCGGCAGAGCAAGTGGGAAAACAGGCTTTCGGACTGGAATAGAGGCAAGAACCAGAGCAGAGAAGCGAAGGTTCCAAGGGAAGAAGAGTCTCAACTACCAAGGTGGGACCAGAGCTTGGGGCCAGACCTTCCCAGCCCTCGCCCTCCCTGCGCAGGTGCTCACCGACCACGGGGTGAGCTGGCCGCGGTCCCGGCTTGGGGCTCCCTGGCCGCTTTCCTACCGCCGCCGCCTGGAGAAGCAGTGTCGGGGAGATTGGCGTGGGGGGTTCCAGGCTTTGGGCCAGCGCCCTGGGAGGTCCTGCCTGGGACTGGAGTGTCCCAAGGAGTTCAGCCGTCGACGTTAGCGCTTTGCGGGGTGAAGGGTGGAAACTGCCTCCGCTGCGCTGGAAAGAGCGGTGTGCGGATGCGGGGGCCCCATGGATGCTTCTGTTTTACTCCGGAAGTGCAGCTGCCGGCTCACCTCCACTGCCGGCCCTAGGGGAGTCGCTGTCCTCACTTCCCAGGCCTGGGCTGCGGGTCGGCATGCTCCGGGCAAGACCAGAGGCACTGGTGCTCCTGGGGCTGCTGCTCACTGGACCCCTGGACCTGGTGGGTAAGTAGCAGGTACCCCTAGCTTAGTAGTACCACCCAGTGTCCCTTTTGGGGTGTGTGGGGAGAGGGGCAGTCCAGAGGCTCCCTGGAGCTGCAAGGTGGGCAGATCTCTGCGAGGGTAAGCAGGATAGGAAACTGCCGAGGGCAGCTTTGACACCGCGCAGGTACTGGCGCTGGAGTCCGGCGATGGTGACAGGGAGGGCGCCTGCAGGGGCGTCTGGGATGCGCGCGCAGAGGGGACGCTCGCTCTCTGTGCCCACAGGCGGCCAGGACGCGCCCTCGCTGCCCTGGGAAGTGCAGCGCTACGACGGCTGGTTCAACAATCTCAGGCATCACGAGCGTGGCGCTGTGGGTACGTGTGTCCCGCAGACCCCGCGTGCACAGCTGGGCAGCCGGGGAGGCGCACGCGACCCGCAGCCCGACTGCCGAGGCACCGCGCTCTTCCGCACCCCTGGGGCCGGGGTGGTTACAGCCGGGCGTACAGGGAGGCGGCCCGTCACGAGTGGGGCGTCTTGGGGATCGAGCGCCCCGAGTGACCCGGCTCTCGCCGCCCGCAGGCTCGCGGCTGCAGCGCCTCGTGCCGGCCAGCTACGCGGACGGCGTGTACCAGGCCCTGGAGGAGCCGCTGCTGCCCAACCCGCGCCGGCTCAGCGATGCCGCCACGCGGGGCCCCGCCGGGCTGGCCTCGCTCCGCAACCGCACGGTGCTAGGCGTCTTCTTCGGTGAGTGCAGAGGCAGGCCGCTGGGGTGGAGCTGGGGGTCACCTTTGGTGCGAGCCAAGGAGGCCACTAGGGTCTAGCTGGTGCTCTGCACTGCGCCTGGAGTCGGTTCCCGTGCCCCCCCCCCAGCATTTCAAGCCCCCCCCCCTCCTCTTGGAAGGATCTGGAGTGTTGGTGCTGGGGTATTTACTCCCCTGATCTTTCCTTACCCTTTATTTCAACGGGGGGGGGAGTGCCACTGGACCCCCGTTTTACTTCTTGGGGACCGAGTTTCGCGCTACCTCTGTCCTCCCAGCAGGATTTTTAACCTCTTTGCTTCACAGAAGGGGGAACTAGATGGGGGAACCCTTGCGTTAACGGTATCACTTGCTCCTCATAACCACTTCCTGAGGAGGACGCGAGGATACTATATTCTCATTTTGCGTATCATAAAACCAAGGGTCCCTGGGACTAAACATCGGGGCTGAGGGCGGTCCTTGCACTGGACCTCGATATTTGACTCTTGGGGACCGAGACTCTGGGAGGCTCACTGGCTCCGCGTCAGGCGGGCGGGACCGGGCCACCCACACACCAGTGTGCCCCGCCGTCCCCAGGCTACCACGTGCTCTCGGACGTGGTGAGCGTCGACACCCCCGGCTGCCCCGCCGAGTTCCTCAACATCCGCATCCCGCCCGGGGACCCCGTGTTCGACCCCGAGCGGCGCGGGGACGTCGTGCTGCCCTACCAGAGGAGCCGCTGGGACCCCGAGACCGGGCGCAGCCCCAGCACCCCCAGGGACCTGGTGCGGCCGGGCGCCCGGGCGGGGCGGGC